TCGGAGGAGACATACCACCGAGTTCCTCGTCTATCAACATGCTCAGTTCTCGCAAACCATCTAGAATCCACAAGCATCTTTCCACTTTGAGAGGCCATAGAACACCATATTATATAATTGATCGGGCTGACTGATCCAGCGCGGTGCAAACCCCCGATGCGTTCATCTAGATGAGCCGTGCCGTGCCATTCCGAGCCGCTCTTTTCATCTACTGCAACATAATCTAACATAATCTAACGGATCTGAATTCATTCCACCTTGGTCCTTTCCACTCGTCATGCCAAAGACTGAGGCGCAGAACAATGGCTTGCTCGATGCCAAACAAAAGCACCTCTCAAAAACAATTTGTTTGTGCTCAATGTACGAGTAGCAGTCAGTCAGGGCATGTGGCATGGGCCAAATTTAAGACAAGTCATGTGCCAAACACAAGCTTGTCATCCAAATTGTCAAACTAAATAAATATATATATATATATGTATATAGTTTGATGACTTCGAATCCAATGTTGGAAAATTGTGCCCTAGCTAGGCAGGAACTTGCGGCAGTTATATACATAGCTGTCCACTAAGCTCCGTGAGCTGCCACCGTTTCGCACTTTTTCCCTCTCCAGCACTCCAGCCGCAGCCAGCTGCCGACAGTCTGAGGACGCAAATCTGTGCTTCAACAGCAAATCCACTGCCTCCAGCCTAGTCTTTCCGAAACTCTTCGTTGCTTGTCCTGAGATCACTAGACGAAAACGGGAACACTGGTGCTCAAGGTTGCTCAAGTATATTCTGACTTGCCTCACAATAGCTCTCGGCGAAACGGTAAATTCTGCTTCCGTTCCAAGGCTCTTTTTGTGGGGAAAGCGTTGAAAGGCGGATTGCCAGGACTCGCTGCCCTTGCAAAGGCACCGCAAAAGCTCTCCCAGAAGCGACAGCTGCAGTCGGATCTGCCACATGGTGTCGCGTTCTCGAAGGGTCACGCTGCTGTCCTTTGGGGACAAACCAGGAACCAGTGGAAACACATCCAAGTGCAGTAGAGTCATTAGACAAACACATCGCATCATGCCAAACATGGAGCTGCAAACATAGCTCGCATGGTCATTGAACTTGAACACTTACACTCTGTGAGACAATCATGGAAAGCTCTTTTAAGCACTCGAAGTACACAGGCTGAAACCTCCACGAATATGGATGCCAGGGAAGCAAGCATTTGCGCTGTTAAATAAACAATTAACATAGAAGCCACGAAGAGAGTGCGAATCGCCTAATGTCCATGTTAGTTATTTTCTCAGTGCTTTTCTCATGTCCACCCCTTAAAGCGAACATGGCAGGCAGGCACGCAGTGGATGCCCAGTGTCCATGATGACGTTTGTTCGAGCTCAGAATCTTCTCGATTTTTCAGATTAAGCTGTTTTGTGTCTCACAATCATGGCATGGATGTGTTGTATCTGTGGCTGTTAAGGTTGCTGGAGGGAGAGTATAGCAGCCTAAGTAAGTCAATTGCAGCATTTTGCAGTGACCATTGCACCTTTAGATAAATTAGCAATCTAGAATTCAGGCAGACACACATATATTTTCTAGACTCAAAGTAATGCCTAGACAGTTTGCAAGCCGGGCCCTGTAGCCAACCAGTCAAACTTTCAATCTCACCCTCCACCCAGCACGGACCTCCATCGTTTCAAAGTCAAACGTGACCGCAAAAGGCACGCCCAACTCATCATTACGAGCATACCTGGCTTCTGCACTGAGACACGAGTTAATTTTGGGGCTTTGGGCTTGAGAAAAAAGCAACTTTTGTCCCATTTCAAGCTCTGTACTGGGTGCTTGATCGTCCCAACATCTCTCAACTGCAAAGGTATCAACAGGGTGTGTCGATGTTTGTCATGTAAATGCAACCGAGCACCTAAACGCCTCCCAAGACCCAAGACACACGACGAACCGAAAGCCCTATCAAGCCAACCAAACAGCTTACAGTGTACCTAGAGCCAAAGATTCTGACACCTATTTTTGGATGTGTTGAGAAGCTCCTGTTCAGGCTTTTGGAAGCTTCCGCGGCCAGACGCTGGATATTCGTACAGTACGGTGATCCCTTCTGGTATTCATGATCTAATTGGCAATCTCCGTATCGTATCGCAGAATCAGGAGCCCATGCCCTTGCGTTTGCACACCTTCTGCCAATGGTGGCATTGCTCTCATCACTGGTGAAGGACAGGCCCTGTTCACAAAGTTCTCTCCTGGAGATTGGCACCAGAAAGACCAGCATCTACTCTGCTTGAATGACACCTTTCGAATCTAAACATGCCGAATAGTTAAATTAAATGCATCTAAAACTATACAAGTAAGTCTTGAGTCTTTTCAGAGAAACATTCGGACACAATCTTGGAAGATCCCATTTCGCTTGAGCAAGTACATGAGACTAGGCTCTGGAAGGAATCAAGCATCCGAAGATACCGCTTGTCGCGGGCAATTCGCTGATCCAGAGGCAGAATTACACACCTGCAGAGACATGACTGACGATGAAAGAAGCAAGCGACGACAGCATGACTGAGTTGGAAACACTTTGCAACCATAGCCGCCAATGCTCGAGGTTAGTTCAGGCCCAAGGCACTTGTATGGTGCAGAGGCAGCAGCAAAAGACAAAACACCCCGTGTCTGCTTGTCATCTTGGTCTTCCTTCGGCCGAGCACTGTAGACATGCCTTAGCCAGCAACCCAGCCAAGAAACTAGGAGTCTTGCTTTAAAAAGATGCAATCAAGCTGCTCTAGTAGCATGGAGAAAATGCGGTCGATTCCAAAGGAAGGCTCGATGACACCCGGAGTGAAGGCGTTCACAGTGACCTTTCAGACGTGTGCCAATTCTTTGGTTTTTCATTGGCTCTTTGTTCTGATCCTTTTCCCTTTTATATAGCTTCGGAGTAGTTATCTTGAGCTTGACAAAGTTCCCTATGATCCCAAAGATGACTTGAGCTGATTAGACCAGCTTATCTCTCCATCTCAGACAGCTTCTTGCTAAGCTGGAGGGTTTTCAATACAAAAACACATGATGTAGGCATATATATTTATATATATACACATTAATATATACTATCAAAAAATATACCACATACATGCTTATATCACACAGAAAAACGGCTCAGCAAGTAGTAGGACTACTTGAAGGTGCTGGTGCTTCCAGCAATTCAGCTTTCTGTGCCTTCTCTTTCTTCCGTTCAAAGACAGCAAGGTCTTTGGTTAACGTGAAGGCTTTGCCGTCGATTTGAACTTCAGCATCTCCACTGGAATCCAGTTGCTTTGCAATACATTCTAGTTCCTCCTGTGGCTGTGCCTAAGGCAACTTTGAACGATTCACTGGCCCAGCGAAATTCTGGTCTACCTGTCACCTGTCCTCACTGAACAAGGGGGTTGGTGTATCATAATGTCACAAAGCTTGTCTGCTTAGTCCTACAAGTACAGTGTAGCTCTGCATCAGGCAAAAAAATTGAACAACAACTGTTAACTTCATCGTCGGAGCCTCTACAAATTCTTT